ACGACGCTCAAATAATCGCCACTTCTTCTCCGAATCGATACTCCATCCATTCCATCGCGACTCCTTAAATTCTACTCTATTTACCGGAATATCGCACAGAGAGAATCGTTCAAAATTCAAAAATTAAGGACCGATATCCAGACATCGATACCTCTGTATCTCTCAATTTCTCGTGTTATACACACCGATACCTACGTATCTCTCAATTGGTAGACTTCAACGCGTTCGTTTCTCGAGTTCTTACCAATATTTATACGAATATAGATATTTATGCTCATTCCATAGATCTAGGGTCGTTTCGCTGATGTTCCACGGGCACTTCGCGACGTTCGAGAAATATCTCGCGATTCCGATCGGTTTGATCGGTGGAACTTCCTGGCAGTTACGAGCTGTGTTAACACCGCGAGTCTGGCCGTGCACAGTCAAGAGCACAGAGCGTTTTGCTTAGCTCGCTCGTCTGTGAATCGTTTGTTTCGCTTGCCAGGTTTCTGCCGAGGCGATTGCACCGGGCCTTTCCGCGTCGAGCCGCGAAGCGTGTCCTCCGAGCCACAGTTTTCTCCGCTTCGCTGGCTCCGGATGAAACGTTATCGAGAGCCGCTAATTCTAGAAACGGAGCTGCCGTGGAATCGACTATTCCGTCCTTTTTCACGGCTCACAGGGTCCCCTGGATTATCGACGAACATAGCGGTGGAAAAGGGGAATCGAGATATGGCAAATTAGAAACGTCCCTTTGGGTCGATCGCTTTAATCGTGTATCTAATTGGAGAAGGAAACGAGGCGGATTGGGACAGAGAAACTAAGCGAGGATAGTGATAGATAATCTTGAATCGAATTGCGTTTCTCTCTATTATTTTGTCGATCAGAAGAGGATTTATTCGTGACACGATAAGCGAAATTGGTTTAACAGGTTTAATTAAGAAGAGGAATGGGTTGTGAAACGTGCTCGTTGTTTCTTATCTGTGAGTTTGACGATGGACTAATTCGAAATGAGATAAAATTTATCTTCGTCTATACTGGCTCCTGGCAAGTGCTGTTTTGGCACGAAGAAACACGTGCTGGAGAGTTGACCAGTTTTTTTTGAGGGAATAACGACTATAACGACTGCGATACTCCTTGTTGTATTCTTGGTGGATTCTTTAGTTAATTACCTGAACTGACTTTTACCTTTCCAACTTCGTTGACCTATTCTTGGGACCAGCGTTATAGTACTCGAGGATACACTCACGGAATAAGGTTCTTAGACTTCTGGGCTCTAGATTTGGAAGATTGGGGTAGGTCACTCGAGTGGAAGACACGTCTGTTTCAAAAGGGAACTGATATTTTCCACGACGACGTACACGTTATCTCCAGATTTCGTTTTTCACGGCTCAATCTCGGCTTCGAAAGTCCGTGGAAAAGTGAAATACAGCGTGTCGTGTGAAGCAACGTGTATGACTGTCGTGGAACGTGTAAGAAGTGTCGACTTTCCGATGCGAGATCGCGCTAATTTAGCAGAAATTACCGAATCCGCAGAAAGTGGCTAAGGGAAAAAAGGAAAAAAGCGACGGTGCAATTAGTGCGGCATGCGCGAGCCAGGTCGATCGTGGATTTCTTTATTCCCTTTCCAGTGAAACGATCCACCTCGGGGGCTCAATCGAGAGTGACAGAACCGTTCTATGTTCGGGCCTGCACGGTCCCGTGAACAACGACTCTTCAACCCGTTTCAGACCCTACCGCTGCCTTTCTGATCCGCTGGAAAATATAAATTAGACCACGCGGACCGATCGGCGTGCAGTTCGACGCAAGCTATCGATCGAAAATGATTAGAGATCTCTAAGTGTCGCGTGACTTCGAGGGATCGACCGTGGTTCGCGAGCGTTCAGGTCTGGGTGACAATTCACGATTAACGCGAACTCGAGTTGCTTCGTATGCTTCGATCGCGTGGAGAAAATCGTTTCTCGAAACTTAAATCTTCGTAAACCTATTGTAGGGACAAGCACTGAGAAATAGTTAAATAATCGGTTATTAAATTTTAATAAACGATTAAACAACAAATTTGTAACATCGCGTGAACATTGAAAGAAGAGATAACGTAACGTTAAAGGATAATTGTATTTTTGTTTCACCGAGACAAAGTGATGCTGAAGTTCAATGACGCCAGTTCGCTTGATATGGTACTCTGGCTAGACAAGGCTACGTGATCTGACTGATTCTCTTTGCTGACCAAGTGCAATGGCAAACTCGTAACAGCGCAATGAATCGAGTGCTGTTAATCTTGTTACTGGTGTCGGTTCTCGGGTCTCGAGGGAAATCAGTGTCGAATACTTCGCTCGATTCAAGAACGTTCAACCATTTGACTTCGAAGAACGACAGCAAGCCACAGACCAACTTCTCCAAGGATGAGTTGCTTGGCCAAGGATCACCGACAATGTCGACGTCGGTTTCGCAAGAAGATCAGAATCCAATCGAATCGTCGGGGACCATCGTGTACAACCGATTCGAGAAGCCACCGAGTGACCAATCGAATGACTCCGAAGAGGAAGAGGAGGAAGAAGAGCCTGAAGGGCCACCTGACCACGCGATTCCTCACTCGGATCACGAGGAACCGAGGGACGTCCCAACGAAACCGAAGTACACAGCTCCAGGCGTCTGGGCCAAGCCAGCAAAGAACAAAGAGGTCGCTTTGGACTTCGTGCCCACGAGAGTGTACGCTCAAGTGAGGAAAACTGACACCCTGAGAAGACTACCTCGCAGAAAAGCGATAGAGAACGCAGTGTCGGACGAGGAGAAGGAAAACGCGGCTAGATTGAGAGCCGTGGTGAAGAACACGAAGGTGAACACGGTGTACACCGAAGAAGGCTACGAAGACTCTGCCTATGATCACGCTGGACACATCAGGGACGCTGATTTCCAGGAAGATTACGCTAGGAAGCTTCACGACCAGCTGGATCTTAAGAAGAAATCCGGAGACAACGATTACGACGACGAGGGAGAGGAAAATGAGACGAGAGATAGGAAACATAAGAAGATCCCTCCTGAGAATTTCAAGGATTTTGATGAACTCGGCAATGGCCGCCATGAGACGCGTACGGGGTATAAGACGAATGACAATGTCGCGGTAAACGCGAAGTTGATTGCTGAGAAAGGAACAGAGAAGCTGCAGGCAGACTTGGAGAAGGAGGCCGAGGAGCTGGAGAAAGGAATCGAGATTAGTAAAGTGGAGAAATTTCGAAACACGAACGATAGAGAAGCCTTGGCTGAGTCGACGAAGCGGAGAAGAAAGACTGATAGAAGACAGAGGAGACCATCGGTTTCCGACGACATTGAATATTCGACTGCGGTTTCGATGAATGGAGACGAAATATCGAAGGATTTTGAAATAGAAACTACAACTTGGAGAGAAAAATTGGATGGTTCTCGAGGTTCTTCTAGGCTATACAACCACGGAGTTCATGGAAATTCTTCGTCCAACGACGTGACCGACTTTGAGCAAATCGAGGTGGACCCAACGACAGTGAGCTACAGCCAAATCTTCTGGGATTATTTCAAGACGAAGGATAATCAAACTACGGAGCCTCCGGTGATATTCGAGACAACGACTTCGAACAAAAACCTTCTTCAAGGTCCGACTTTTAGGGGAACTTTAAACAATCTCATACCCCATTCTGCCTACGAAGAAACCACCACGCCATTATCGACGATCGAATCCGAATTTTCGAGTACACAGCAAAGCGATGGTCAAACACCGACGGACTCGGAATATTCCAAAAATATCGGCCAGAACAGCCAATTGCTATCCTCTGACAGCATCGACACGGACGAACTTTGGCAACCAGACAACTCCAACGAAGCAATTTACACGGAAACCTCTCCCTTCTCGGATAACCATAACGACGAGCTCTACGCGCCTATCCGAGAAGCCTCAATCCCGAACCTTGAATCAGTTTTAGAGAGCAACGAAGAATTCGACAAGAATTTCGACAGTTCCGTCTTCAACCCAACGCTAAATTCCTTAGCGAATCGCAGACCGCGTTACAAGATCACCGTCAGGCACAAATCGGATAAACCCGAGAAACCTTCCACCTCCGAGACCCCTAATCGAATACCATCAACCCCAAAACCCACGATCAAATCACCGATCGAGTCGACGACTGCAGGGGGGTTAATAATGAGCGAGAACTACATGAAAGTCCTGATGCACGTGAGGAACGA